AAGAGACAATAGATAAAATAAAAGTCAAGGTGATTTTCAAAGGCATGCTTTGAAGGCGTGTGAACATACAAATAGTGGGACTTTATTTAAATTGATCAGGAGAATTAAAAGGTCTTCTGTTGCTGATAGGTAATGAAAAGACCATTTTTTGCAGCAACCAACAGCATCTTATTGTTGGGGCACAGGAGAAGAATAGCAAAGGAAGTTCATCTTCAGATAATTAGTGTGAAATTGTGTAGGGCTTAAGTGATTAAATCCAGCACTGAATTTGACTCAAAAATCAGATTGCTAGCCGTAGCCAATGGCAAGATACAGCATGATATGATTATATTGGCCAAGGAAAGTAATATAATCTAAGATTATGCACAAGGAGATGGACTTAATTCTTAATGGTTGATACAACCAGAAGCAGCAGAGAGAAGGTTAAGTTTTCAACGCAATTCCATTCTTAAAACAGGGGTGATCAGTCCAGCAGATAGCATAAAGCCACTGCATTAGGCAGCAGTTTTTGGAATGTAATGAGAAAGTAATAAATTGCTAGTTGTTTATTTTAATTTAGGGAGGGCAGGTTCTGAATATAAATAGATCAGTTCTGGAGTAGACATTGTACTTTGGTGGTAATGATGGAAGAAATGTCCCTCTGGGTTCAGTTCCAAGTGGGGAAAAAGACACTGGAAACATGGCGGCTGCTTGGAAAGATGATATAATGGTGGACAGGATCACATGGCTTGAGCTCTTGAACAGAAAAGGGGGATCACATGCTTCCAGATGTTGGGTGAAGAAGAAAAGAGAGCGAGATGCTGAAAATTCCTGGTTTTATGCCCTCTCTGGTCTTTGATCTTGACCTTGTATTCTGATTGGTTGTCGGACTCTCATGGGGCCATGAAGGGGCAACTCTTCAGGCTGTGCTTTGAGTCCACATTTGGTTGCCTTGTGGGCTGATATAATTTTCCCAGTTGCCTTGTGTTGAGTTTTTGTAGAAGGCTAATCCTACCTTTATTATGCAGACTAGACAAGCTCAGGCTTTTTAATGGCCCATTGACAAAGGTGGGGGCTATTAAGTGTGAGTCTGTT